ACCACAGGATTTTACTATTTGTYAAACTCAGTTAACCTCTTTGTCCTGCTAACCTCCTGCAGCACAGAGCAGCACAGAGCTCCACCACCTAATGACACATCACATGGAAACGCATGTCCTGTTACCACCCCTAAGTTGCCTTCTCTTCCAATTTTCTTTAAGATCTTCATATTCTCATATGAATGAGCTGACATCCCTAAAATCTGGACAGGACTTTGAAGTGGGAAGAATAAATATAGTGTCTGTTTTCAAACATTGCTACTGAGCACTGGGATAAGTTCAAGCCAGCAGTCTGCAGGCACAAGTCTCCATAGTCTATCCTGTCTCATCCTCCTTAGCCAGCCCATCCTATCTACACTGACTTTTCAAATTTCCATCTTTATAGTACTTTTTTTCTCAGAAAGGAGAAACAGAGAAACAAAGACAGAAACTGACAGGTAAAAAAAAAAAAATGTACATGCAATCTAAGTGACAATCTAACAAGCAATCCTTGAGACACGCTGATTTCTAAATGATCTCCCTTTCATTTAAGAATGCTTCTCTCTTTATTTTCAGCACAACTAGCACCAACTCCGAGATCCTCAGCTCTGTCGTACTGCCAACAACTTGTGACACGGACAAGCAGTTTATCAACTGATGTGAAGGGACTTTTCACCCCATGCCTTTTTCCTGCTGCTCTCCAGAACATGCTTTCAGCTTGGCTCCACACCAAGCACTATGAAATGTTTGTGGGAGTGGAGCTCTTCTCAGTTTCTTTCTCTTGCAGAACATTGTCAAAGATCCAGGAAAGCAGACAAAATTCAGCAAATGCAGAGCATTAACCAGGCAGATATAAACCAGAATAGAAGAGACTACTCCAGGATCTTTCTTTCTCATTTTYCCCCCTAAGCTCTGCCTTTCTATTCATGGTCTCTGAACTAGCTGACACAATGGTGCAGGACATTTACTCAGTGAGATCTTTGCAAATGCAGAGCRGGCCCCTGAAAGGCAATGCCATTACCGAGCACGGAGTCCAGCCCATCCATCAGCTTTCATAAAGTTAATCCCTGGTTTTCAATAAAAGCAGTTGCCTCTTTCAGCTGTCACCCTTGAGCAGACATTGCTCCTCCTGCCCTCTGCTTGGGAGCTCAGACATTCACCTGGTCATCACATCCACTCTTTTTTGCCTGCATTACTGGTCACTCTTAAGTAACATGCAATGATCAAAACAGTTTTACAATAATGAGCTTTCCTCCTTCCTACAGTACTCAGCACATTTTTAAATGAAAGAATCAGCTTACCCATAAGARCCACAAACAAACATGAGGAGCTTAAGATATAAGTAATTCAGTAGCCTCAAGTATTCTGCTTGTTGGGCAATCATAAATTTAAAGTGAAAATCCATATAGATTTTGTTTTGCATTAGATATTAAATAAACCCCACTTTCGAAGCCAGATTAGTAATAAACCTTTTGGGCTGTTACATTTTTTTTAAGAAAAATCAAACCAGGATTAAATCATCTTTTCGAGACTTACTGTCATTTTATCTGAGTAAATAAGCTTAGAGCGCCTAACAGTCAATTTATAACGAAGGCTTTTGTTCTCAGTAGTGCAATGCAGCCCTGCAAATTTGCCCACAGCTGCAGCAGTTTCATATGTTTCTGACAGGTAAAAAAAATACTGTTCATTTCTGTCATTGTCATTAATCTGCACAGTAATGAATTAGCAATCACATTTTGTGCCTAAATAGATACATTTTCATGAGGATCTTGGTAAGGCTGGTATAGAATAACAGGCATTTATCACCTCCATGGTTTTGAAGTCCAAAACATGAAGGGTCTTTGCTCTGCTGTTAGGCTGGAAAATGAATGGGAAATAAAGGCTAAAGCAGCAATAACCACCCCAAAAGAAAAAAAAAGAAAAAAAAAAAAAAAAAAAAGGATTTCAGGATAAAGCCAAAAAAAAAAAAAAAAAAAAAAAAAGGATTTCAGGATACAGCCTAGTTACAATTTTACTGGAGTAAAGACCAAATAACCAAAGTGCAGCATAATCTCAGCTGCATCAATTTAGTTCTCATAGTTGTTCTGAACTTTATATCTCTGATGCTATAGTCAGGATCTGACCATGCTTTAATCTGACCCCAGGATTTTGGCCTATATAAAGACTGGTGCTTCTGAGCTGCTCCAGAGAAAAGGGTTTCAGATATGCCTCAAGACTTGCTAGCTAGGAAAAAAAAAATTGCAAAATAAGGCCCTGCTTGAGGACAAGTGGCAGAATCCAGCTGTAAGTGCCTTCTTACACAGCTCAGAAACAGTGAAAAGCAAAAAAGAGAAACCCTGGTGCAAGAATCACATGCAGGTCACGTTTGCTCACTTCCTCACTCAGGTGGGCTGGCAGATGGTCAGTAAATAGTCTCGCTTTTACAATGCAACCTACCCAGGTTTTAAGCAAGAAAATTAGCCTCCTGTTATTTTCAAGTGCTTATACTGTCCATGACTGCAAGTTACCTCTCTTTTAACTGTGCTTAGGATCCATTTGCTCACACATATAAACCAGTCTTGCCAGTGCCACGTCTCATGTACACAGGCAGAATGGCAAGCCAGGGAAGCACTGGGAACACGAAACAATGCAAATTCCTAGGCAGGGAGTTGCATGGCTTCCAACTTTTACAAGAGACAAGGAGGAGATAGTTGAGTGAGGAAGACATAAAGCATCTCTGAAAAAGAAGAATGGTTTCCCCAACCTCCATCTAGAAGTCTGTCATGAAAACTGTGTCTGACAGCTATCTGTCAGCTGCAAAACACGTTGGAGAAGCCCACTGAGCACGTAGTTCTGATCCATGAGACCTATGGGCGTGATGCACTGTGTAGAGTGTTGGGGGTTCACATGACTTGATAGCAGGCCCTGCTTCACCCTACGAAGAACATGAACCCACTTCTCTCCTCTCTGCCCCGTCAACTCCACCTTGGATGGACACAAAGGAAGACAGGATGGCTGCATAGGAGATGTTGGCATTGTCCATGGGACAGGCAGGATGTGTTCCTGAGCCTGGTCTCTCTCTGATGAGTGCACTGGCTTTCCTTAGCAGAGCACTCAAGCCCATGAGGGGGAAAAGAGAAATTGCACAAAAGCTGTTTAAGATTTCAAGTTAGGTGACAGGATCTGTGCCAAAAGCTGAAAATAGGTATCAGCCAAGCCCAACCTTGCAAACCTTGCTCATGCAAGGAGCCCTCAGCAGCAGCAGATGGAGCAGGACTATCCTGGGCTCCGTATCGGAGCATGGTCCCACAGGCAGCAAGTCTGCAGCCTTCCCCRCTGCCTGCAGTTGTGGCATCTTAAATACAAATATTCCTATTTATAAACTACAAATATTCCTGTATATATTGCAGAATGGAAGTTGCCAGCCTGAAAATACATGGACTGCACTTAATTGTTCTTACATGAGGAGAAAACCGCCCYGGGGTGACACCTGATGTGTTAGAGGGGTTGTGTGTCCCATTCTCCCGCGCGGCGGAGGGAAACTTGGCGGCCTGACCCCAGTCTGCAGCAGGGAGCGTTTCAGTGGGGCGGTAACGGGGCCACTTCCACTCAGCAATTTTACCTCCAACCGGTGCCACCCAGAGCACGGGCCCAACGGCGAGGCCGGCGAAGCAGGTGGGGCTGCCACCCGCCACGTGCTCACAGTGCCTGAAGTTGTATTTTTGCGAGCATGTGAACCTCTCCCCGCGGCATCACTCCTCCTCGCCCGGCTGTGCCTGCCGGGGGGCCCGCACCCCCGTGCCCACCCAGCCGCACGCAGCTCCCCATCCGCTGCCCCGCGCATCCCGCCGGCGCATCCCGCCGGCGCATCCCTCACCTGCTCGGGCCCCTGGAAGCAGATCCTGCAGAGCGGCGTGCGGATGCCGCTGTCGACGCTGCTGCCCAGCGAGTATCGGTCCTCGGCCTTGCCTTTGGCGAAGTCGTCCGAGGAGGTGCTGCTGGGCAGCGAGGCGGGCGGCTCCCCCGCGGGGCTGC